TGAAAGAGAGGTCTGAAGTCTCGCATGTTATTGAACTTTTTTATAATGAAATAAAAACCCAGTTCTCTACTTCTGTTCATATTCTTCGTACTGATAATGCTTTGGAATATATGAAAAATGACGTTTCAAAATTTTGTGCTCTTAATGGTATTATTCATCAAACTTCATGCTCTCACACTTCACAACAAAATGGAGTTGCTGAGAGGAAGCATAGACATATTCTCGATGTTGCTAGAACACTGATGATACATATGAATATTCCAAAGTACTTGTGGTCGGATGCTGTCCTCACTGCCTGTTATTTGATTAATCGCATGCCTTCCTCTGTTCTTGATGGTTTGATACCATTCCACTGTCTTTATCCTGCTAAAAAACGTTTTTCTGTGATTCCTCGAGTTTTTGGTTGTACGTGTTTTGTTCAGGATTTGACTGCTGGTTTGGATAAATTGTCTCCTAGGTCCATTAAGTGTGTGTTTGTTGGATACTCACGTACTCAAAAAGGGTATAGGTGCTATCATCCGACCACCAGGAGATATTTTGTTTCTGCTGATGTTACCTTTTTTGAGTCTGTCCCATATTTTTCCTCTGGTTCCACTACCTCTGTCAGTCCACAGGTGCCACTACCTTCTACGGCTCCCACTACTATTCCGATATCTGCTCCTGTGGCTACTGCACCAAAGCCTCTACTGCTATGGATGAGGAAATGAATGCACTACTTTCTAGAGGGACTTGGGACTTGGTTTCTCTTCCTACTAGAGCGACTGTGGTTGGTTGCAGATGGGTGTATACCTTGAAATATCGTCCTGATGGGTCTGTTGATAGATATAAAGCTCGCCTGGTTGCTAAAGGATATACCCAGACATATGGTATTGACTATTTTGAAACCTTTTCTCCCGTTGCTCGTCTCAACTCCATCAGAATTCTTTTCTCTCTGGCTGTTAATATGGATTGGGCGATGCACCAACTAGATGTGAAGAATGCTTTCCTTTATGGTGATTTGGACGAGGAGGTTTATATGGAGCAACCTCCTGGGTATGTTGCTCAGGGGGAGAATCTTATCTGCAGGCTGAGAAAGGCCATCTATGGGTTAAAGCAGAGTCCTCGAGCTTGTTTTGATAAGTTCAGCAAGGTTATTTCTAATGTTGGTTTTCAACGTTGTCAGTCTGATCACTCTGTCTTTCTTCGACGCACAACAACTGGTTTGGTTATTTTAGTCGTATATGTTGATGATATTCTGCTGACTGGGAGTGACTCTGTTGCCTTAGCTGAGACTAAGGAGTATCTAAACCGTCATTTTGTCACTAAGAACATGGGAAAGCCAAAGTATTTTCTTGGGATTGAAGTTGCATATAAAAAACATGGTCTGTTGTTGTCTCAAAGGAAGTATGTGCTAGATTTACTAGATTTACTAGAAGAAGCAGGTCTTTTGGACTGCAAACCTGCAAGCACTCCAATGGAGGCAAATGTTGATTTGTGGCGTGATGATACCTCTCTACTAGATGATGTTGCACGATATAGGAGACTAATTGGGAAGCTAATATATTTAACAGTTACCAGACCTGATATTACTTTGGTAACCTGATATTACTTTTACAGTAGGTGTGCTGAGTAGATTTATGCACAAACCTAGAGAGGTTCATTGGACAACAACTCTGATGATTTTGGCATATGTCAAAAGTTGTCCTGGCAAGGGATTGTTATATAAGAAGCATGAGCATACTCACATTTCGGCTTTCTCTGATGCTGGCTACGCAGGAGACATGGGAGACCAAAAGTCAACCTCAGGATTTTGTACTTTTGTTGGAGGTAATCTTGTGACTTGGAGAAGTAAGAAACAAGATGTAGTATCACGATCTAGTGCAGAGGCCGAATATAGAGCAATGGCTCACACTGCTTGTGAGATGGTGTGGCTAAGAAAGTTTATGACAGAGCTTGGTTTTGTTCAGTCTGGACCCATGCCAATGCATTGTGACAACCAGTCTGCCATTTATATTGCACAGAATCCTGTATTTCATGAGAGGACAAAACATATTGAAGTTGACTGCAATTTTGTCAGAGATGCTTGGGAGAAGAAGATAGTATCTCTCACATTCACTCCGTCCTCACAACAACTTGCTGATATTCTTACAAGGCTACTTCTTCAAAGGTGTTTTCTACTATATGTGACAAGCTGGGCATGGTGAATATTTATGCTCCAGCTTGAGGGGGAGTGTTAGATTAAGTCTATTGGGTATTGGGTTAATGGGCTGTGACCCGTTAACCATACCCCTATTTGTATAACTATATATATATATATCTAGTATCTGAATAAATTAATGAAGTTAGGGTTTTTGCTCTCTTAATTATCTCTTTCTACATACTAGAACTTTTATTTGTGCAGCAAAACAAATCATCACTACGAATTCCAATCTGCATGTAGTGCGCAGAGCTAAAAGAATAAGGATCATATCAGAACTCTATACTAAGTTGGAAAGATTTCCAGGAAACGTTATGCCTGCTTCTGTAGTTAACTCTATACTGAGTTGGAATGATTTCCAGGAAACATTATGCATGTTTCAGTAGCTACAGAAATATTACGACAAAACAAACAAATGAAAACAATGTAAAACAATAAAAAGAATAAAGATCAGTGCCGAGGTTACTACATTGCTTATCCACAGGAAAGGAAAAAAAGACTAGAATAATATTACATCCGAAGATCAAAAAGGATTTATAGTCGTAAACCTAGATACATGTCACATGAAATAGATCTTATGTACAACAACTCATTACATGTTAGTTGTAATTTAGAGAATCATCGAGAGCACGCAAACACGAACAAAAGAACATCAATTACCTGTACGCACAAATGTTTAAGAACATAGAAGGCCATCACTACACGTTTAAGAATATAGAAGGTCATCACTACGTGAAGGTATCCTCGCGATCAGCCTCAGCAGTCTCTCCCTCTTCTAAATTACTGAACTCAAGAAAAAGCGTCGGTCTATGATCTTCATGGTAATAATCCCTAGGTGTTCCAAGCTTTACACCATATCTCATGCTCACCGTATGCTTCACCGGCATGAAGTTATAATTCCAAGGACCGTTGTCTGGTACCTAAAGACCAAATTGATGATCAAATCAGTTTTCCTGAATCAAATCATACGTGAATATCCAATTATTCTAATCTACGACAAGGGATATCAACCCTGGGATCTAACTTGAGAATTTGTACATTGATCAAAGGGAGATGTCCCTTTAGTAGCACTATTAATGCAATGGACCTGGGTTACCGGATATTTTCTCGTTAACCTTTAGAAAGCAAGATTAAAGTGGTGAAAAACAAGTTTTACCAAGTAAAATCCCAAGAACCGATCACTAAGTAACATCTGGACCTTCTCATAATGGGTTGGGAGGTAACCATGTGGATTGCTTCCAGTGTCCTTGTTGCTCGCCCCCATTCATAACCTGTTGGTGTAAGCTTATATGCAGTCAAAGAACAGGATCCTGGAGTAAAACTACAGGTCAAAATGATGCACTTCTCTCCATCCCATTGCTTGTTGTTCCCTAGAATCTGGACACAACATCAACAATAAAGGCTCTCTCTCTGCATCGGGTAAATGAATTCTATTCTTCAGTTCAATTCTGTTTAGAGCTTTCTAATCATTATCATATCCATCCTCCCTGCTTTCAACCTGTTCTCTTAGGCCTACCACTAATCATCATTTCTCAATTAATTGTAATCTTCTCTCTTACCCTAATTGGCGGATTTAATGGCGTCCAAATTACATACATAATGAAAGGATGGGAAACAAACCTGTGGGGATAGTTGAGGAAGTTCATTGTGCTGTGTATGCATCCAACCCAAGGGCTCTAAGTCATTTAAGAACTCATGCTCCGGAAAACCTGAAGGAAGATTGACATGCTGATAGGTCCCCCATTGTGGTGGCATTACTATGCATCGAATCTCCTTCACTTGTGGATTGTCTTGCGGACTCAAACCATACAGAACCATCAATTTGAGTTTGGAGATCGACTATGCATATAAATTTCTTCAAAATGTTCTTGGGCATGATGTAGGTATCACCTGTTTCCTGTAATTCCAGAAGTAAATCAAAGTTAATGATAATACTAATTAACATAGAAATCAACAGAGATTAGAGGGGACGTCACAAGATGAATACCTTCATATCATCTGAATTAACGTAGATATGACTAACCCGAAGGTACAGATTTGTAGCTGTGATAGTCCTTACTCGCCAATCAGTTTTATTAAGGTGTGATGCTTGCTCATATGGACTAGTTGTCGTAATACTCATCACCATGTACATTAGCTGTCCTAGTTGTAACTGCAGTTAACTGGCTTGCTTCTTTGGCCTGTGAATATTAACCAGGAAATGTAAACAAAGAGTAGAAGGCAACATCAGAGTCGAAGCGAGTTAAGTCTTTCATCTGTCTTATATATTACCTGCTTCTCGATTTCAGCAATCTGCTGTCTTTGTTGTGAGGGTGGGGTTATCTCAGCACCAAGTATTATATCACGAATCTCAGATTGTATCAGTGCTGATGTGTTCACATTGTTCTTTGCATAATCCGAAAGTATAAGATCTCTCAGAGCCACTTCCACCTTCATCAATTGGTCATCTGAGAGAGAAGGCCAGATGTGGTGCGGCTCGGTAACAATAGTCTTGTCCGGTTTCAGTAACATTTTTGCTTTCTCATTGTTCACATGAAGTGCACGAAGTATCAAAATAAGACGAGAGAAGGCAGTGTATGATGAGATGCTCTTCAACCAATCATCATAAATATTGAAAAGAACCATCTGGGGTTCTGTAGCCTTCAGAATCAAGTCGCCAAACTTCTCAATCTTCAAGCAAGCCTGGAATGGCAACTGCAGCTCACTACCCTTGATTACAATATTGGGGAAATCAAGTAAATGGACCTCCAAGGGATCCAACATTCCCTTGTGTGTCACAATAATTTGTTTTGGCTGCTCTTCAACAGGCAGAGA